CCATGCTTATCATGATCCATCGTCAACTTGATCATGTACTAGCATCGTTCTGTCGCCTAATGACTGCTTTCACTAGTATCTATTTCGATTTGAACAAGGCTGATTCAGCAGTCAACATTCAGACAGCTGTAAAACGAACATTACATTTCATGGATACTTCAATTCATCGTCTTGTAAAATTTAGACGTAATCATCAACATATTTCTTGTTTTGACGTACAATACGAGGATTTATTTGCCCACCCGATCGATACAGTTCATCGTATTTACGATCACTTTGGTCTTGCATGGTCAGAAGAGTTTGAAACGGCTATGCTTGCTTGGCTACATGATAATCCTCAGGGTAAGCAGGGTCGTAATTTCTACACGCTCAACGATTATGAAATGACTTTGGATGACATTGAACTACGATATAAGGAGTACATTAGTATGTTTCTTAATTCACAACATTCTGCCAAAAAAGATTGTAGCATGGTGAAAAACGCAAGCCCAATGATGAATTCAATGGAATCCTCATCAAATGAGTACATTATCGATCAACTCAACGGCCAATTGATCAACTAAAATTATTAAGTTGAACCATTTTTTATACTAGCTTTATGTTTAGATTAACATAAGTAAACAATATTTACTTTTGCATTGAAATGGACAAAAAGTGACATTTTCTTGATTTCGATTTACACTTACAAGAGAATTACCCCAAGTGATTAATCGTTTTTGAGTTTGAACTCTGTGCATAAGGTAGATCCCAGCGAGGTATGAAGAATTCCAAAAGGATAAGAGCTCATAGACCTTTTCTCCAGACTTATAGCCATTTTACTCGAATTTTAGCCTATAGCATGGTATAAACTAACAAATCGAATGACGGTACTTCGATCTGAAATTTTGTCTACGGGTAGGCCTGGGTGTGAGTGTGGATGTGGATATCTGTCTGATCATCGATCACAGATAAGAAAAACGAATCGTTTCAGGCATTTGATTCTATCGTCTAGCTTACAATTTCAATATTCTCAATATTAGCTGGAAAAGACGAGACAGTGTCTCGCTCAATCCGAGTTACAACTAACAATAATATGTTTTATTGTGTTAAACTTTTAGAAATGATAAATATAAAGCAATCAATACTTTATCTGTGCAAAAAAAAAACGATGATTTCAGCAGTTTTCGTTTTGTTTTCCTGTCTGATCGAAAAATTCATCTCGTAGATAACAATGCAACATGTGTTCAATTGATCGTTTTTTCTTATTTCATAACTTATCGGATCCACAGACGAATAGATCTGTAGCAAATCAGTCCATTGTTATAGACACCATCATCGGTTCTTGCGATCATGCATGAAGATGGTAAATGTTGTTTCAACCAGTCGACAAGTTCGTCTTCAACGGGCGATAATTGACTATTGTCGTCATCTTTCCATGTATCATCTCGGCATATAACATTTAAAGCTCGAAGATTGGTCATCGTATCGATCAGATCAAGTATACTTTCGCGATTCTCAACTGCGATTGACAATACTTCACACTTAATACCCAATGGTGAACAACTCAATACAGTACATTGTTGACTGTTGTACTCTCGATCAACATCTTGTAAATTAAGCTGACGAATCGACTTATTCAAATAGTTATAGGGTGGCATCTGTTTAGACGACGGTGGCCAATTCTTGAATGTCAACGAGTTGAGACAAGGTGCTCGATCAAGTAAAACTTGCAATTGACATTGGGGATCTAAATCATGATCAGCATGATACGGTGCTACTTGTAGTGAAGTTAATTGATCGAATTTTGGAATGATATGCAACAAATTGTTATCGAAAGGAAGATGGAGATCGAGGTTGTTTAGGTACGAGAAGCAAAAGTGAGGCAGTACTCGATCACTAGCTGAAATAAGCTCGTATCCAAGAGTACGAACATGATCATAGGATGAATAATCATCATCTTGACGACAAGTTGATTTTGTTTTGACGTTCGAATCATGAAAATAATAGTACTGAAAAGCATAGGGCAGTGTGTAGAGATGAATATTGTTTTTATCGCATTGTTCACATCGATCCCAATCGCATCGAACATACCATTGACGTTCGTCGAGCCAAAACCGAGTTCGAAATGAATGGAGTAGTTCATCAACTCGTTGTTCCTTGTTTTCATTATCATTGAGACGAAATATCATTTTAAGTTGAAATATTTTTAGCTTTGGTAAATAATCGACAATAATTCGCTCCCATTGATGTCCATTCATAATCACATCATCAGTTTTCACTATCAACTTACGTAAATTAGGCATATTTTTCAAAAGATTTGTCATTGTTGATAATGACCCGTAAACAGAGAGTTTTAATGAGATCATTGATGGAATTGCAAATGATAGTGGTTGATCAGCCGAATTATCCGCGAGTAATATACAAAGATGTCGAAGACAAGGAGTATTTTGAAAGAGACGAGCAAGTTGATTGAGTCCATAACAATAGCATTCGATGGACAAAAATTGAAGTGACGTGGAAATCATTGATGGAATAATAATATAAATTTGACGTTCAAAATGGATATCAAGGTGACAATGGGTGAGTTTAGGAAGACTCCAAATATTGTTAAGCATTTCAAAAATAGATTGATGATCCGTTCGAAAGGAACAGTCAATAAAATCGAGATGAGTCAAATGAGGAAGATTTTGGCATTCGATCATTATTAACTTCAGTGTGACACTAGAGCGAAGATGACACAATGTAAGTGATCGCAAATGAGTCAATTGACGAAGAGTCAAACCAGAAGAAAGAAAGCAATCAATTTGATGTGGTGTTTCATCATCATTCGAGAGACGAATGGAGAGAATTCGATCAGTAATCAATGGAAGATATTGTTGACAGACAATGTCGAAATCACATTTGGATGCAGATTGAAAATCGAGATGATAAGCTCGGAAATGAGTTAAGAGAAGAGTGTTGAAGCGAGTATTGAGACCATGAAAAGCACGAAGAAGATGGACAGCGGAAAGATACTCGAATAGTACGAGTAACAATTCGTTGGCTAACGTTTCCATACTCATTTTGTCTGTAGCAAATAACTTTTTAATGAATCGAAATAAAATTCGAATAATGTGCAAAATAGGCGTGTGACAGCTCCTAATTCAATGAACTGAGAGAATCGAGTCAAAGAAATTGCTTATCAGTTTTTCTCATGTAAACTGAGTCCAGTGACCAGTTCTTTTCACATGAGCTGGGTTACTAAACATCCGATTTTATCCTAGCACTAGATTTCTGATAGTTCCATTCCAGCACACTTAAATAGTTTAGCTACAGGATCCGAAATAGAGCAACTAGAAAAGTAGCGCTAGGATAAAATCAAATGTTCAGCGACTCTAACTCTCATTCAGCTGAAAGGAACTGAACGATCGAAATCAGTTCAATGACTCGATCAGGAACTGTTACACATCTGGTGCAGAAACGTCTACTATGTAAATATGATTAGTGATCTTGATGAGATTTATCAAGTATAACTCATTTTCTCCAAATGACTTACTCGTTTTTAGATGCTTCTTTTCATCTTTCACAATGTAAAATGACAGAATCTAAGAAGAATTGGCCTCAGTTGAAATGACTCATAAATGTTTATTTGCTAATAAAAATAATCGAGCACGTTATAAACACACGCTTGACAAACAATACACACTACAGCTCACACGAGAATAGAATGAATATGGCGCAGATATGGCATACGCCTTCACATCACTGATAAATATTTATACTCGTTTTGCGTATATCATCCCTTTTCATTCTGTTTTTTCTTTTTGCTCTTTCGCTGTCTCTCTGATGGTTTCTTGGATATTTATTAGGATCAGGGAGAGCGTAGAGAAGGGTTGAATTTTCCCTAATGTTTTCAGAATTTATTCCGCGGGGATGGCTTTCAATTCTTGCCACCTATCCCATTTCACTATTAGATTGACAGAAGAAGAATACAAATGTTGCTCAGTTTTTGTCGCGAGTTTAGAAATTAATGATGAAAATGAAAAAATTTCTATAGTTGTGATGCACAAAAGTTGTTCTCTTACGCGACGTAAGTTTTTAGCAGTTTGTCAGACTGTTTCAGCAAAAAACTGTAAACTATCTTCCAGGTTTTCTGGCAAGCAAGAGTGTGGGTGTGAGTGGGTTTTCATTTCATACACACTTACACTCACACCCTAGTGCATGTTGATAACTTTTTGATGGATCTGCAGACATCGCTCTCAACAGAAAGTCGCACTACTGTCGTTAAAATGAAAATTGAATTTCAGCTTCGCAACATGACTGGTTAATACATAATTAAAGTTAGACAGGGTAACTTTTAAAAACGTTTTTATGGTCTAAAAGGCGAAAGGTTGAAGTTGAAAATTTAAGGACAGAGATGAAACCGGACTGAGCCGGATAGTGGAAACTATAGCCACAAGAAATCAAAATGAAGGTATTGAGACTTTGACAAGTGTGAAAGATATGCAAGCCACTGAGATATTCGAAATGATCGAGCAAGAATTCATTGATCAATGATTGCAATTTCATCTTTTGTCGAGCGACGATCACATGGACGGAGATCTTTGCATGCCATTGTACATAACCAAACATGAACAGTGTATTGTGCCGATGTACTACTCGTATTCTTCGAGCTCGTTGCATTTTCGTTTTTTTCTGACGATTGGCCTTGTCTTCTACATGTCGGATGCTTTATTTTCCTTGCTAAACTTCGGAGGTGAATGAAGAATAGAGAAATGAATTCCCCATGACAAATCATCAACGTGAGAGGAGCAAGATCATTGTCGAAATGTTGATGGATGATTCACGGAAACGATGAAAAACATTCATCTGATAAATCTATGTTTTTTCTCAAATCGAAGGTATGAGCAGAAAGAACAAATGAGAAAAAAATATACTTAGGATGCCAAGACCACGTTGGATCTGAATATACCAGTTAGGAATTCGTTTGTATTTTCTTTCTCTCCGTTGATAACATCCGATTGAGTCGCTCTATTAGGATGTTTCATTTTTTCTCTTCGCCTTCTACGATTTATTCATGTGGATTCTTCTCCCATTATCTTAGTATCCTAAAATCAAAACGTGATTCAAGAGAGTTCGACATCCTCCGTCACAATATGGTTCATTAATGAGAGGAAAAACTTTGTCAAATATTAGATACAGAATGACTACTAATTAATGGTTTAAATCATCCGAAACATAGCGAGATGCTCGCATCTCCTATATAAGATGTTGAATAAGTAGGACGAGTTATACAGATGTTTTCATCGTATCTTAGAAGAATGCATATCGAGCATAAAAACTCTCCTTTAAGATCAAAAATTACGACGATCGTAAAAGGCCATATACGATTGTAACCTGTCGCACTTTCTTATACAGTGCTGGACAAAATTATAAGAACAAGATATTTTTGATTTTTTTTCTACTATACTACATATCTATCTCAAACCCAAATAGTGATTTGAATAGCAATAAGGTACTCTATCAGATGCATCATAAGCCAGATTTTCATAAATAAATTAAGAGAGAAAAAGTTCTAAAAAACGAAAAACTGACATTTTTCAAGTCCCAGAAGCATTTTTTATGGTCATTTTTGAATAGTGCCATATTATAGAGCGCAAAATTCTGAGTAAAATGAAGAGTCACCGCGTTTTATACGACATTCCCTTGCAAAGTTACAAGCATCACAAAAAATGAAAAATTGCACTTTTTAGCTGTTTTTCAGCAACTTTTTTCAAAATTTTTTGTGATGTTTGTAACTTTGCAAGGGAAGGTCGTAGAAAACGCGGTGACTCTTCATTTTACTCAGAATTTTACGCTCTATAAGATGACACTCTTCAAAAATGACCATAAAGAATGCTTCTGGGACTTGAAAAATGCCAGTTTTTGTTTTTTAGAACTTTTTCGCTCTTAATTTATCTATGAAGATATGGTTTATGATGCATCTGATAGAGTACCTTATTGCCTATTCAAATCACTATTTGGGTTTTAGATAGATATGTAATATAGTAGAAAAAAAATCAAAAATATATTGTTCTTATAACTTTGTCCAGCTCTGTATATGAATTATAGCCACATTATCACAATACTTGACGATCATAAATCCTTCCATCGTATTATATAAGACGAACATTTTACATTGGATTTTATCTTATGCGTGTATTTACAATTTTGAGCTCTTGATCATTTAGAATTTTACGTGCCATGATTCCATGGAGTGGCAAATCTCAAACTGTTACCAGTTTTAAAAACTGAGTGTCAAAATTTTCAAAATTTCAATCTGTCAAAATTTTCAAATTTTCCAAGTACGACTAAATTTGAAAAAGACTGAGATATCAGATATCAGATATTTATTCACACTATATATTTTTGTAATAGCTTCAGCAATCAGATATCAGATATTTACTTTTACATGAAAGTTTTCAGTTTCAATCCATAATTATCTAACTATATGTATGAAAATTCACCAGATATCAGATATCAGATATTTACTTTTGTATGAAAGTTTTCAGTTCCAATACATAATCATCTATCTATATGTATGAAAATTCACCAGATAACCAGATATCAGATATTTACTTTTGTATGAAAGTTTTCAGTTTCAATACATAATCATCTATCTATATGTATGAAAATTCACCAGATATCAGATATCAGATATTTACTTTTGTATGAAAGTTTTCAGTTTCAATACATCACAAAGTAAATCAACTAATTTGAGTCCATGACAAATCCCAGTGATATTATCACTGGAATTTCTGTTCCACTCCTGTACATGACATATTTCAGTAATATTATCACCGAAAATCAAGACACAAATGTTCGAACTTCGTAGATAGATAGATTGATAGATATATAGATATATAATTAGATAGATAGATGGGTAGATATATAGCTAGATAGGTAGATAGATAG